CCTTTTTGGCCAAAAACTCTGTTCAATGCAAGTTGAGGACATTACTTAGGCTGGAGATAGGTTTGTTAACAAATAAAATTGCCCAGGTTTAATAGCTCAAGGAGCTCTACTATCAGTCCCTAAATCCCAAAAAGTACTGTAACTGGCTCTCGCTTAGATTTTTAAAGCTTTTGAATGTTAAAACCATTGATTTCCTTATAACCAAGTGTGAGTAAAAAAATGCTACTATTATTTATATGAATTTGCTCTTTATCCCTAAAGCTTGAAACAACTTTTTTAGGGATCACAAATGATGCAAAGGACCCATCTATTGATACATTTTGATCAACTACTTTGCCCATACTAAAACAGTTTGGAGTCCCTGCAGAAGGATTGGAACTGAAAATTGAGAGTCGTGGAGTTGCCCCCAAAGGTGGTGGAGAAGTAGTTCTTTCAGTCCCTATGGTCCTGAATAGTTTAACGGTGAGTTTTATTCTCATTCACTTCATTGTTTTGTATTCTGAGGACAGTTAAGATAACTATAATGATTTTTTGACCAATTATTTTTGTGACTGCTGTTATATAGGCTACGAAATGGGTTGACAAAGGTCTGGTGAAGAGAATTAGATGTGTTTCCTTTTCAACTAGGGTCTTTGTTCAGTTTGAGAATACCATGATACACGCAGCTCGTGGAATCTTGAATCCATTGCTTGCAGGTGTTCACATATTTACAGATCATAAAGCTGGAGCACAAGCCGGAATGTATGATCACCTTGTGGATATGTCACACTTGCTGTCCTTTAATGTAGTAACAGTCCAGGTCATGTTTTAACTTGGACTTGCTGATTATATCTGACGATCAACTTTGATTGCAGGTCACCTGGCTATGGAATTTCTCTAGTGGCAGAGACTACATTTGGTTGTGTTATATCTGCTGATACCACAGTTTCTTATGCAAGAGGAGAAGATGAAGCTGACTTAGAGGATGATAGGAAAGCTCTGATCCCTGCTGAGGAAGTTGGTGAGCAAATTGCTTCTGCACTACTTGAGGAAAGAAAACAGTGGGGAGTAGTTGATTCAACACATCAGGTGTGTGTAATTTCTAACAACGTTAATCCTCATGAATTCTAGACGATCATATCAGTCTCCTTCAGTTTTCTACATGACAATCTGTCTGTCTTTTACTTTTGCATCTCCGTATGAACCTCTTCCGAGTCCTATTGTACATTTATCAGCATTTCAACATATGATTTTGATGTGCTTATGAGTACTTCCACAGAAACCTGAAACAAGCTTCTCCCAGTTTGTTCCCATTCATAAACATTGCCTAGCACTATTTAGGGCTGAAAATAACTTTGATTTCACTTCAAGATGGTCCCCCGTTCCATGAATTCTTTCTCACCAATTTTGTGTATTAACAGGGACTGCTGTTTCTCCTATGTGCGTTGTGTCTGAAAGATGTTTCAGAAGTTCGTGTTGGGAAGTTGTCACCATATGGAATAGAGGCATTAAGGCACATCAGAGACTTTTTGGGTGTCAAGTTTGTCATGAAACCTGATGCCTCCACAGGAACTGTCAATCTCACGTGTCTTGGCTCTCTCTGGATTTCAGAATTTATCCCGGAAAGTATCATGATAATAAAAAATTGGGCATCATTTGGTGGTTGATTTTATATAGGGAAACATGTGATTTTCTGGCTTGACATTCATCAATGGAGGTGGGGTTTGGAGTAAAATCATAATTGTCACAGGCTGGAGATTTTGACGTGGTCGTTAGTTGTAACTAGAGTTATTCATGTATTAAAACTAGCATACTCAATATTATGTTTGGTAGCTTTGTAGTTGTTCTCTATAATAAAAATTTTTAGCATAAATTATTTGGACAAAATGCCAACAGAAGATTATTTACATAAGTTAACTGAGAAGAGGGGAGTAAATTGACCAAGATGCTAAGAAGATCATTAATTTGGAAGTTAAATATAACTAGAACAATGCTCTATCATTCATCATATAGCCCACTTCAACCTCACTCAAAAATTATTTTTTTAAGGCCTAAGTCATATGCGGCCCCTTAAAGTTGTCCTCATAATTTATTTAAACACCTCAACTAAGGCTTGTACCTAATAAACACTTAAATAGTTCAAAACATGTGTCTATTAAGCACAAAATGTTGATGTGGCAAAATAAGTGTATCTCACTGCCTAGTAGCGCGTGAATATGTCCCAATTTTTTTTTTTAGAATAAACTTTACTTTTTTTGTCCTAATGACTGGCATGCATTAATTAAAATAACTAAAAATATTTTTTATTTAAAATAATGTTTTTAACCCAAAAAGAAAGCAACCCCACCCCTCCGCTGTAGGATATACCAATGGTCTTCTTCTTCACCCTATTTTAAGCTTTTTAAACTCTGTTTGTTTTTTTCTCATCGTTTTTATGTTTTACTCTTTATAAAATGAAATTGAATTTGTTAATTGAATTTGCAACAAGAAAAAAAATGGGACATCGAAATTATAAAAGCAACCTCTGTCCATTTGATATAATTCATTTGAATCCTTTTGATTTCTCTTCATTATTGATTTTGAAATAATTTATCAACGTCGATTTATTTTTCACAAAAATCTCAACAACCACTCCATTAATCTATTATGCTTCATAATTTATTTCACTATTTGCATTAGACTTGATTTCAATAGCCCATAGTTTATTACAAGAAAAAAAATCAATATTTTCAAAGGAATAAAAAATGACAAGTAACAGAGGATGAAGAAGAAGAAGATAAGACAAATGATTAGGTGGGTAGATTTGGGGGAGCGGGTGGGGTAGATTTTCTTTTTTCTTCTTTTTGTTGTCGCCGGAGAAATCGGGATTGTTGTTAGAATCAGGATGGCCGCTGAAGGGAAGAAGAAGAAAGGTGGGTTTGTGGGGACGGGGGCTTTCTTTTTTCTCCTTTTTGCTAATTAATTTTTTGGATTATTGATGGCTGGAGTTTTTTTTTTTTTTTAAAATTGAATATTCATTAGATTGGGCCCATGTGTCACATGTTGCAGTTTTATTGGTTACTTTTTAAAGATAGTGTGCGTGAATTACACATGATACATTTTAAAAGCTTATTATCATTTTGTGTTCAATAAGTACATATTTGTTAATATTAGAGTGTTTAATAGGTACTAGCCTTAGTTGAGGTGTTCAAATGAATTATGCGGATAATTTTAGGAGGCCAGAGATGACTTTGGCCTTTTTTTAATCTTACGATCTCATTATACATAGCGATTTGGTATATGCAATATTTGTGAAAAGGGAAAAAAAAATTGTCAAAAATTCCAAAAGGGCACATCAATTTTTTTTAAACCAAAAGGGCAAAATCGCTCCTGACGAAGTAATTTCCCTCTGACACAATGACTAAAAATCGCTGCCCTAGCAGTGATTTTGTCCAAAAAAAAATTTTTAATTAAAAATTTAAGTCAAATTATTTTTTTCCTTACACATCGTTGCAGGGGCAGCGTTTTTCATAGTGTATTAATTATTAATAATATAAAAATGATAAACAAGACGAACAGTATACTCAATAAAATTGTTGAAGCATAAGGAAAATTGAATTATATATCATAAATAATAATAAAAGAATATTGAATTAAAAAAAAATAATTTAAAAAGAATATTGAATTAACCAAAATCGCTGCTGCCTCTCAAAAAAAAAGAAAAAAAAATTCTTCAAAAGAGTTGGTTTTGATAAAGTAGAGTGTAAGTAGGGTACTAGACTAGTGTTAGTGAGTAGTTGGCAGTGACTAGTCTAGTACCCTACTTACACTCTACTTTACCAAAGCCAACTCTTTTGATTGAGAAAATCGCTGTGGTTAAGAATTTAAAAAAAAAAAGTTTTTTCTGGCAGCGATTTTGGTTAAGAATTTAAAAAAAAGGCATTTTTTTAATTCAATATTCTTTTATTATTATTTATGATATATAATTCAATTTTCCTCATGCTTCAACAATTTTATTGAGTATACTGTCCGTCTTGTTTATCATTTTTATATTATTAATAATTAATGCACCATGAAAAACGCTGCCCCTGCAGCGATGTGTAAGGAAAAAAATAATTTTGACTAAAAATCGCTGCTACAACAGCAATTTTTAATTAATTTTTTTTTTTGGAGCAGCGATTTTGGGTCATTGTATCAGAGGGAAATCACTTCGTCAGGAGCGATTTTGCCCTTTTTGTTTTTAAAAAAATTGATGTACCCTTTTGAAATTTTTGACAATTCTTTTTGCCCTTTTGGCTCGGGACTCCAATATTTATTAGGTAATCGGAATATTTATTTTGCAAGTCAATCTCTAATTATCATTACTTAGTAAATACAAATTGAGTTATTTAATCAGAATGGTATTCTGAACAAATATTAAAGATAAGCAATATCATGTAATCTAATAGTTATCAGACATATCAAATCAAATAATCTGTTGGTGCAAAGACATGTGTAGTTCCACCTAAAAAGGTTCTTGGAAAAAGTTTAACCCAAAATTTTTTGCTTTTTACATTTACAATAAAATGTTAATAATTCTGATGTGAATATAAATATTAGATCGTAATTTATAATAGCATAAATAAGGATAAGTTAAGATGCTTTGATATGCAATCCAAGTCTGTCTATATATCTTCCGTGTTTGCTTCGACGTAAACTATTTTTTAAGAAAAAATTCTCCAAAAAGAAGTCATTCTCTAAATTATTAGGATTAGCAGTCTTAATTGACTTTGATTTCTTTAGATATTGAGTCTATGATACCAATACATCTTAAATGGTTAAGTAGGAAAAGACATTAGTAATTTTTAATTAATGAAATGTAGTTTGTGTGTTCCAACAGTTTGAATTATGCCAGCAAAATATATTATTTTCCTTCGAGGTAGGTATATCATTTCTGTCAAAGTCCACTAAACAAACGCATGGTACGCATGAATAAAAACTAACTAACATATGGCACCATACTTTATTTCTTAGCGCTAATTGTGGGGTTTCTACAAGATGCTCCATACTTACAGATATTTTTGAGCTTATAATATATATAAGTGCTCTGCCAAAAGTTTGAAGTAATTATTTATCCTTTGAGTTTTTGAACCATGGAAGCTCCATCAGAGGCACAATTGCCAAGAAGAACCGGAGGCTGGATCACCTTCCCCTTTATCATAGGTCTCTCCTCTCCTTTCTCTTTTGTAGACCCTGAACCTTGTTCCTACACGATTTTTTATCAAGCATTCGTTATTTATTTTTATTGTTATTTTTAACAGCATGAAAAGACCCAAAATCTCAAGTGCTACAATGTTATCCATGTTACTTTGTTTGTTGCACATAGCCTAAATATTTGTTACAGGTAATTTAACATGTTATAACAAGTTACGTATAAATATTGACGCGTAACTGGATTTTGACAAAAACAGCGAGCTCAGTGGGGTTGACCTTAGCATTTGGAGGTTGGACAAACAATCTTATTGTGTATCTGATTAAGGAATTTGATGTGGAGAGTATTGATGCTGCTCAAATATCAAATTTGGTTAATGGTGCTGGAAGCTTAATTCCTGTTGTTGCTGCAATTATTGCCGACTCTTTTCTTGGTTGCTTCTCTACCATTTGGATCTCATCCATCATCTCATTATTGGTAATTACTACTCCACTATTTTGTGTGTACCTAACTTAATTTGTTTGACCTTTTGAAATTGGTTCTTTAGGGTGTTTTATTAAGTTTAATTTTTTTTTGTGTGAATACATTGTAGGGCACTATCCTTTTAGCTTTAACAGCTACAGTTGATTCTTTAAGGCCTAAACCGTGTGAAGTTGGTTCAACCTCATGTTCCCCTAAACCAAAAGTTCAATATGTAGTTCTCTATGCAGCAATAGCTCTGACTACTCTGGGTAGTGGAGGTACCCGATCAACCCTTTCGACGATCGGAGCCGATCAGCTAGCTGATAAACCAAGGGATCAAGGGATTTTCTTCAATTGGTTCTTCTTCTTTTGGTATTCTGCTTCTGTAGTATCGTCCACAGCTATTGTGTATGTTGAAGATAACGTGAGTTGGAAAGCTGGATTTTTCATTTGTGCAGCGTCCAATATTGTTGCTTTACTCATTTTCCTAATGGGAAGTAGATTTTACACTAAATTTAAGCCAGAAGGGAGTCCATTCACCAGTTTGGCTCGTGTTGTTGTTGCTAGTATTACCAAAAGACAAGTTCCACTCCCATCGACTGCTCAGGATTTCTTCCAGGGATGTAACGTAGCACCCAAATCACTAGCTGTTGTACCTTCCAACACCCTCAGGTAATACATACTTCATTCGTTTTAATCTGTGGCTCTTTAACTTTTTTTTTAGTCTGTTTTGAAAAGATTGTCTCTTTTCATTAAAGGGAAAAAAGACAAATATACCCTCGAACTATCGTAAATGGTATGCATATACCCTCCGTCATACTTTTGGGACGGCAGGGGCACCAATGACCCAAAAGTATGACGGAGGGTATCTGCATACCATTTACGATAGTTCGGTGGTATATTTGTCCTTTTTCCCTTCATTTTTTAACAACTCTTTAATTTCAACTTTCTACACATGTTTGAGATCACAATATTAAAGAATATTTTGATACATTCTACATATCTTTATTAGTTTAAGACGATATATAAGATTCAAAAATCTTATTTACTTTCTTAAACTCTATGTCAAAACAAATTAAGATAGAGGGAGTAAATATAAAAGTCCTTTTTATACTTTAAAATGTTGTCTCGTCAAAGTAACACAAACGAAATGCGGGGATTATATGATCGCGGCATGATTAATTTTTGCAGTGGAAGTACATGTGAAGATGTCAGCATATCTTTATGTTAGAAGATTTTTTTATAAATAATCTGTTTCGACAATGATATGAAGCACTTTTTTGTTTTTATGGATTGATGTTACCTCTACACTATTGGAGATTTGTTAATTAATTTTAGAGGAGACGTACTCTCACACGTCACAGGCAAGTTGATTTATTTTTGTTCAAACAAGTAAAACCACTATATTTTGTTGTTGATAATATAATCACATGAGACAAAAAATTTGAACTTCCGTATTAATAATAATGCAGGTTTTTGAATCGTGCTGCTATTATAAGTGAAGGTGACGTAAAACCAGATGGTTCAACAACTAATCGATGGAGACTTTGTTCAGTACAACAAGTAGAAGATTTCAAAACCTTAATTAAAATCTTACCACTTTGGTCAACTAGTTTTTTTCTTGGCACCACAATTGGCGTACAATTAAGTTTTTCGGTCCTTCAAGCCTTAGCTATGGACCGCCACGTAGGACCCAATTTCCAAATCCCAGCTGGATCCATACAAGTTTTTGTTCTCATATCTACTGCTCTATTCCTCGCCCTGTTTGATAAATTTCTTTTACCTATGTGGAAGAATTTGAGAGGCAAATCACTAACACCTCTCCAGAGAATTGGGATTGGACACGTGCTCAATTTTTTGAGCATGGGTGTATCAGCCTTAGTCGAGTCAAAGAGACTAAATGTAGCAAAATCAAATGAAGGTTCCAATATTGTGCCCATGTCAGTGTTATGGCTTGTGCCACAATTAGTCATCGTTGGTATTGCGGAGGCATTTCATTATCCTGGACAAGTATCATTGTACTACCAAGAGTTCCCGATAACCTTAAAGAACATGGCGACCGCGATGATTTCCGTGCTTGTTGGTATAGCATTTTACTTCGCTACTGCTCTAATTGATGTTGTTAGAAAGACAAGTAAATGGTTACCAGGTAACATAAATGATGGAAGGCTGGATAATGTGTACTGGATATTGGTTGTAGGGGGAGTAGTGAACTTTGGTTACTATGTAACATGTGCTTGGTATTACAAGTATCAAAACCTTAACGAAGTGGATCATAATGAGACTCCTTCTGATGAGTGATTTGAGGATGAGATCAATTTTAATATCCTCAGACTTGTGAGTGTTTAGACAGAGCAATAATTTATCATCAATCTGCAATTAGTGAAAAAACATGTTGTAATGTCAACTTCTGACAAAGACATATGAAGTTTTGAAACTCTTTAGCCGAATTTCAAACAAAAACGTCTTAAGTTTTTGGATTGCTAGACTTGCTTGCTTTAATTTTCATATTCACACTTCAATACGATTATCCGAACTTCAGACAATATATTCATGCGTTTTACGTTTTCATAAGGATTTTCTCCTTATACATTGTCTATCATATGATGATCGCCAAGTTTGTGGACAAATTTTCATGGATAACATTTAAACAAGAATGAAGGTGTGAGGTCTTGCATTACATATTTTAAACATACTCTGATATATGATAAAAATTATAATTATATGTTGGAGTAATTTTTAAATCTTATTTTTGTATATAATTTTTTTTCTTGCATTTGCTTACATAACTACATGTATGTGTAAGTTTTGGGTCGTGGATCGTCCATGTGAATCGATCTAACCTGATCCAAGAAATTGTAACTACATATATGTCTAAGTTTTGGGTCGTAAACCGTCCATGTGGATCGATCTAACCTGATCCAAAAAGTTGTCTGAAAAGAGATGAACTAATTATCTCTTATATGAAAAAGAAGGGGGCATAGTTACCATGTAACTGGTAAACTTCCCAACCCTTCTTTATAAAAATGATTTTCCAGAAGGAATAACTTTAATCCAAATATTTTGTCTTACAAAGTTCTGTTTTTTACATTTATATTTACAATAAAAATGTTAATAATTCTGATGTGAATATAAATATTAGATTGTAACTTATAATACTCCCTCCGTTTCAAAAGATTGGTCTGGTTTGACTTGGCACGAAGTTTAAGAAATTAAAGATGACTTTTGAATCTTGTGGTCCTAAATTAAAGTTATGTCAAATGTACAAAATTGTCCTCAATCTTGTGGTCTTAAACATGCCACGTGGAAAGCAAAAAGTAAAATGTTACCAAAAAAGGAAAGAGGTCATTTTTTTGAAACTGACTAAAAAGGAAAGGAGGTCATTCTTTGTAAAACGGAGGGAGTAGTATAAATAAGAATAATTAAAGTTATGAGTGCTTTGATATGCAATCCATGTCTGTCTATATATCTTCCATGTACATGTTTGCTACGACGACGTAAAAGTCAAATGAGAAAAATTTCTCCAAAAATCAGTCATTATCCAAATTATTAGGATTAGTAGTCTTAATTGACTTTGATTGCATTAGATATTAATTAAGAGTCTATGATACCAATAATTACTTCTGAAATGGTCAAGTAGGAAAAGACAGTAATTTATAATTAATGAAATGTAATTTGTGTGTTCAACAGTTTGGAATACTCCAGCAAAAGATATTATTTTCCTTCGACTTTCGAGCTAGGTGATATTGGAATAATATCTATTTTGAAAGTGAGAGTCTAATTAATTAATGATTATTTAGTACTCGAGTCCTTTAATCGATATTCAATTGCGATTATGAATATTAATTAAAGGGAAGAAGCCGACAATTGTCATGTAAACCAGAAGACATCAAATTAAATGAACAATTCACTAAAAAAAACCCCAAATTGCCAACAGATTTTACTAACAACTTAAGTTGGTTAGTATTCTAGTAACAAATAACCAACATATTTCTAACTGAATTATATTTTAAAACTTAACAACGAAGTTCTAACAGATTACCAACCAAAATCTTACTAACTAAGTATTTTAGTTGGTAAATACGGCGGGAAAAAATGGCGCCAAATTTAGCAACATTCTATCAATGGATTACCAACTGAAATATTACTAACGCACACCTTTTGTTGGTAATATTACCAACGAAGTATATATTGGTTGGTAAATATGACAAAAAATTGTTTATATAATTTATTAACATATTACCAATGAATTACTAACCAAACATTTACCAACGACAAGATTGTGTTGCTAAATTACCAAACAAATATAAATGTCTTGGTAAATTAGTAACGAAATGTAATTTGTTGGTAAACTTGCCAACCAATATCCATTTAGTTGAAAATTTTGCCGACGAATAAAGATTGTAGTTAGTAAATTACTAACATCATTAAAATAGTTGGTAATATACCAACCGATCATTAATCCATTGATAAAATTTACCAACATATTAATTATTAGTTGGTAATATTACATATGAATGTTTAGTTGACTAGTAACTATTACCAACTGTGAAAAATTTTATTGGTAAATTATTAATTACTAACTTATATTTGAATAGTTGGTAAATTTATCAATTGAAGTTAAAATTTTTGGTAAATTAGCGTCTAGTGTTGAGGCTTTCATATTCAGTTTGTGTCGTTAGGCGTTTTAACTTTTAAATTTTAGCCAAAACTTGACTTTGGTCGATATTTTTGGTAAACATGCTTAGATTAGAACTCTGTCAGTGTCATTAGCTTCGAAAGGTCATTTTTTATCTAACAGGAAGGTTGGTTCAAGCTTTGAGGCTTGCGTTTTTTTGTTTGTGCCGTTAGGTGTTTTAAATCTTATGTTTTGGCCAAAATTTGACTTTGGTCAATATTTTTGTGAACATACTCAGATGAGAATTTCGTCAGCGTAATTAACTCCAAAGGTTATTTCTTATCTAATAGAATGGTTGGTTCGGGTTTTGAAGATTTCATTTTTAGTGTGTGCCGTTAGGTGTTTTAAATTATAAATTTTGGCCAAAATTTAACTTCGGTCAATATATTTGATAAACGTGCTCAGATGAGAATTTCGTCAATGCAGTTAGATGCGGAAGGTCATTTTTTATGTAATAAGATAGAGAGTTCGGGTTTTGAGGGTTCCATTTTTAGTTTGTGCCGTTAGGCATTTTAACTTTTAAGTTTTGGCCAAAAATTCACTTTAGTCAATATTTTTGGTAATCGTGCTCGAATTGAAATTTTATCACCGCGGTTAGCCATATAAGTTTAGTTTTGGTCTCATAGTGTGGTTGGTTTGGATTTTGAGACTTTTATTTTCAGTTTGTGTAGTTAAGCGTTTTAACTTTAAACTTTTGGCTAAAATTTGAATTAGGTCAATTTTTTTGGGAAACATGCTCAAATTTGAATTTCGTCAGCGCAGTTAGCTCTGGAAGGTCATTTTTTGTCTTATAGGATGGTTGGTTTGGATTTTGAGGTTTCATATTCAGTTTGTACCGTTAGGCGTTTTAACTTTTAACTTTTGGCCAAAATTTGACTGTGCTTAATTTTTTTGTAAACATGCTCTGATGAGAATTCCATCAGCGTGATTAGCTTCGAAAGGTCATTTTTATATCTAATAGGATGGTTGGTTGATCAGGTTTTGAGGCATCCATTTTCAGTTTGTGCTGTTAGGCGTTTTAACTTTTAAGTTTTGGCCAAAATTTAGATTTGGTCAATAATTTTGGTAAACGTGCTCAAATTAAACTTTTTGATATAATGATATGTTTCATATTGCGATTAATTTAACTTGTTATCATAGATTTTGCATTGTTTCATTCAAATATGATTTATAAGATTGATATTAATATTTTTGGATTTATATTCGTGCTCTTAGATTTTTAAATGCAATAAATTAATAATATTTTACTATTGGATAATCATTCAGTTAATAATATTTTGAACATATTGTCAATCAATTACTAACCTAACATTGAACTTGAATGATATATTACCAAAAAACTAACAATCAATTAGTAAATTTATTAGAAAAACAAATAATCATACTAACGTATTTAAAATTTATTACCAACAGGGGTTGTGGTGGAGTGGTAAGTACTCTTTCATCCTTAACCAAGAGGTCTCAAGTTCGATTCCCCTTGGGTACAGAGTCGCCTTGAATGATATATTACCAAAAAACTAACAATTAATTAGTAAATTTATTAGAAAAACAAGTAATCATACTAATGTATTTAAAATTTATTATCTACAAGGGTTGTGGTGGAGTGGTAAGTACTCCTTCATCCTTAACCAAGAGGTCTCAGGTTCGATTCCCCTTGGGAACGAAGTCGCCTTTATTAGGGAGCGACTGGAAAAGTTTACTATCAGACATTTGTTACTATAATTACCAACGTATTACCAATGGAATCGAATAATGAAGAAAAAAATTTACTAACTCCTTCTCAATGCATTAGTAAAGGTACTAACGACATACTAACCAAAAATTAGTTGGTGAATTTACCAACGGAAATTTCAGGGCCATGTTTCAAAATTTTGTAACAACATCTTTGGGTGTTTACCAACAAATTAAAATCGGTTGGTAATATTTACCGACGAGCCTTTTAGCAACGAATTAATATCAGTTGGCATTTGATTGGTAACTCAATTTGCCAACCAATTTGATCAATTTACCAACAAATTTTTTTGTTGGTAATTGGGGTTCCTTTTGTAGTGATTGCAATCAAAGTCAGTAAAACACAAGTAACAAGTAGCGAAATTATACTAAATTGTAGTCATTAGTCAAATTAACAATTTAATACTATAAAGTTGAGGGCCTTTAATTAAATCTTTGAAAAAGATTTATGCAATATGTAATTTCCTCCCATTTTATTAAATTCTCATGAACAAGACAATGTGCTGTCCTTATCCTAATTGAGATATTTTTGAGCTGATCTTATATATATAAGTTCTCTCCCAAAAGTTTGAAGTAATTATTTATCCATTGAGTTTTTCAACCATGGAAGCTCCATCAGAGGCACAATTACCAAGAAGAACTGGAGACTGGATCACCTTCCCCTTTATCATAGGTCTCTACCTTGTTCCTACACGATTTTTTAACAGGCATTCGTTATTTATTTTTATCGTTATTTTTAACAACATAAAAAAAACTCAAAAGTTCTAGTGCTACGATGCTATCTATGTTACTTTGTTTGTTGCACATAGCCTAAATATCTGTTACAAGTGATTTAACAAGTTACGTATATATATTGACGCGTAATTCGATTTTGACAAAAACAGCAAGCTCAGTAGGGTTGGCCCTAGCATTTGTGGGTTGGACAAGCAATCTTATTGTGTATCTGATTAAGGAATTTGATGTGGATAGTATTGATGCTGCTCAAATATCAAATTTGGTTAATGGTGCTGGAAGCTTAATTCCTATCGTTGCTGCAATTATTGCCGACTCTTTTCTTGGTTGCTTCTCTACCATTTGGATTTCATCCTTCATCTCATTATTGGTAACTTACCACTATTTTTTGTGTACCTAACTTTTGACTTTTAACTTCTTTTTCATGAATTACTTACTACTCCTCATATTCAACACTTCTCTTCAATCATTGTATGACATAATTGTATATTTATAGAGCCATTTTTTATTTTTTTTTGTGAATACGTTGTAGGGCACAATCCTTTTAGCTTTAACAGCTACAGTTGATTCTTTGAGGCCTAAACCGTGTGAAGTTGGGTCAACCTCATGTACCCCTAAACCAAAAGTTCAATCTGTAGTACTCTATGCAGCCATTGTTCTAGCAACATTGGGTAGTGGTGGTACCCGATCAACCCTTGCGACTATCGGAGCCGGTCAGCTAGCTGATAAACCAAAGGATCAAGGGATTTTCTTCAATTGGTTCTTCTTCTTTTGGTATTCTGCTTCTGTTATAGCATCAACAGCTATTGTCTATGTTGAAGATAACGTGAGTTGGAAAGCTGGATTTTTCATTTGTGTTGCGTCCAATGTTGTTGCTTTACTCATTTTTCTAATGGGAAGCAAATTTTACGCTAAGTTTAAGCCAGAAGGGAGTCCATTTACCAGTTTGGCTCGTGTTATTGTTGCTAGTATTACCAAAAGACAAGTTGCACTTCCATCGACTGCTGAGGATTTCTTCCAGGGATGTAATGTAGTACCTAAAGAAGCATTAGCTGTTGTACCTTCCAAGACCTTCAGGTAACACATGCTCCCTCCATTTCAATTTGTTTTTGTTTGTTCTACTGTTCTTTTAAGTCTGTTTCAAGAAAAGTGTACACTCTCTACTTTCTTAGCAACACTTTCATTTCAAATTTTCAAATGTCATGTTTAAGACCACTAGATTAAAAGAAAATTTTATATATTTTACATGTTTTTATTATAAGACATAAGATTTAAAAGTATTAGTATCTATTTTCTTTAAATTTCGTGTCAAATTAAAACTAGTTAAATAAATTGAAATAGAGGGAATATAAATGATTACATATAGAGACAAGATAGAAGTCTTTTTTATCTTTTAAATGTGGTGTCTTGTAAAATTAACACACATAAAATGAGGGGTGTTTTATGATCGTGGGGTAATTTAATTTTTCAGTGGAGGTGGATGTGAAGATTTCAGCATATCTTTATGTTGAAAGATTTCTTATAAACAGACTTTTTCAACAATATTTATATGAAGCACCTTTTTCTTTTTATGGATGGATGTTATCTCTAAACTATTGATATTGAATACTTTATTGTTAATTAATTTGGATCGAGACGTACTCCTACATGTCACGGGCAAGTTGATTTATTTGGTTAATTTATTTATTTTTCACTTCTTTATTTGGTTAATTCAAACAAGTAAAACCACTACAAAATGTTGTTGATAATATACTCACATGAGACAAAAATTTGTATTTTTTTTAAAAAAATAAGCTTAAATTATCAGGGAACGGACACTTTTGTGTATTAAGTTTTTCAAATAAATAGCAACTAAGTTCCACATGACTATTTAGTGATACATTAATTAAGTTGGGCACACGTGCTCTTGCTTTACATAGAGCATCTTTTGTGTGATAATAATGTCAGCTTGAGTGTATCTTTTAACTTTCGTAGAGTATTGAAGTTGCTCATATATGATGTAGGTTTTTGAACCGTGCTGCCATTATAAGTGAAGGTGACCTAAAACCAGATGGTTCAACAACTAATCGATGGAGACTTTGTTCAGTACAACAAGTAGAAGATTTCAAAACCTTAATTAAAATCTTATCACTTTGGTCCACTAGTTTTTTTCTTGGCACCACAATTGGCGTACAAGCAAGTTTGTCAATCCTTCAAGCCTTAGCAATGAACCGCCACATAGAACCCAATTTCCAAATCCCAGCTGGATCCGTACTCGTTTTTGTCCTCCTATCTACTGCTCTATTCCTCGCCCCGTTTGATAAATTTGTCTTACCTACGTGGAAGAATTTGACTGGAAAATCACTAACACCTCTCCAGAGAATTGGGATTGGACACGTGCTCAATTTTTTGAGCATGGGTGTATCAGCCTTAGTCGAGTCAAAGAGACTAAATGTAGCAAAATCAAATGAAGGTTCCAATATTGTGCCCATGTCAGTGTTATGGCTTGTGCCACAATTAGTCATCGTTGGTATTGCGGAGGCATTTCATTATCCTGGACAAGTATCATTGTACTACCAAGAGTTCCCGATAACCTTAAAGAACATGGCGACCGCGATGATTTCCGTGCTTGTTGGTATAGCATTTTACTTCGCTACTGCTCTAATTGATGTTGTTAGAAAGACAAGTAAATGGTTACCAGGTAACATAAATGATGGAAGGCTGGATAATGTGTACTGGATATTGGTTGTAGGGGGAGTAGTGAACTTTGGTTACTATGTAACATGTGCTTGGTATTACAAGTATCAAAACCTTAACGAAGTGGATCATAATGAGATTCCTTCTGATGAGTGATCTGAGGATGAGATCAATTTTAATATCCTCAGACTTGTGAGTGTTTAGAGATAGCAATAATTTATCATCAATCTGCAATTAGTGGAAAAAAATTGTGTAATCTAAAAGCTATTGAGACATATCAAATCAAGTGAACTTTATTGACATATAATTAATTATATGTATCTAAATATGGAATGTAACTAAAACACACGAATTTAGAAACAAATACATAATATCGTATCTCAATAATGTTTCAAATCATGTGTACTTCTTCGCTTATTAAAATAATGTGTCGATTACATTCATAGCTGGTCAGGACATCTCACCACGACGATGTTTGCTTCACCTTTTGATTTGTCAATGTTGCTCCTAGATCTGACGGACCTCCAGCAGAGCCATTGAAAAATTAGCTTTTTCGTTCCTCCGACTAGTAAAGCTTTAAAAAATAAGGCCTTCAAGTCGACAGAGATGAAATAAGAGTCGGCTGAAGAGTGAGATTGTTAGGAAAAAATCGTGACTATAAATTGGCAGAAAAAAAAATCACATTCAACTAACTACTTGCAAGTAACACCAATTGCCATTATATTGTAGCATACTCTTTGCAATAAAATATTCGAACTATAATTTTCTAGAGCTATTACATTATTTGCATTGATTCTGATTGTTTGGGTAGGGGTGTACATGATCGGGTTGGTTCGAGTTTTTCAAATACCAAACCAAATCATTGTGTCAAATTTTTAAATTTATAAATCAAACCAAACTAATAAACCTCGGATTTTTTCGATAAAGTTTGCATACAAACATATAATTAACTTGTGCTCCAAATATTTCTTTAGTCCAACCAAAATACAATTATCTAAGATGTTTCTTAAGAAAATAACACAAAATATGAGATGAGTACTGATGACACTAAAATATTCAATAAAAAATAATAATGAAATCATCATATAAAATAAATATTGCAAAGTCATAATGAAAATGATCATAATTTAAAAGTACTAAATCATGTCAAAATAAATTTAATAAGTATTAGTTACATTACTAAATATTTAAGGAAAATTAAAATTAGATTATGTATTTTAATTATCTAAATCAATGTAAAACTAAAAAACAAATATTCTATATTATTGTCATTCTTAATGTTGAATTGATTTTCTTTTTGCATTAGTATTAATTTGATTTTGATTTAAATTTTATTATAATTATCAATATCTATGAACTATAATCTTTATTGGATCATTCCGAATTCTAAGTTTTAAACTTGAAATAATATATTAAAAGATAAAAACTATGAAATATCATAAGAAATATTTTAAATTTATATCAAAGTAAATATTTTTATGTATAAAATAAAATTTTAAAATTACATATATAATGTCGGATTGGTTTGATCTCGGGTTGGTGTTGACACCCAATTTTTGACCTCCACATTATAGATTAATAATTGAGCTTCTTCAATTTCAAACGATTTATAATAATTAGTTTTATAAAATTTCAAATATTATTTTGCAAGTTATTTTAAATAGTTTTGTCACTTTTTATAATTTTTAGATGATATATATGTTTTACATAATTATGTATATAATTAGTATATTTTATGATTATTCGAAAATCGTCTCAAAAAGATTTTGTTTTAATTAAATAATTGTTTAATTAGTTTAGTCATATAACAATTTATATTTTAAATTAATTAGTTTATAATCAAATTGATTATTTTATTTCGTTAAGATTAAGAATCTCATAAATTAATTTCAAAGGTTTGTCTTATTCAGCTTTTGGCCGAGTTTGCCAATTAATTTTTTCAATTTTGGCTAAGTTTTAATCTCAATTGGTTATATTTTCAATTGCTAATGTAGTCATTTATTAGCTTGAGTTCCAATTCTTGTAAGACCCAAATTTGGGCTATTTTGTTGGGCCAATTTGCTTTACAGCAGCACCAAATCAGCCCATTTCCCTTTTTATCCCTCAAACCCATTTCTCCACAATATTCCCAGCCCACCCATACATGCAACAATACAATAATACACTCCCAAACGGCAATACATATATAACAATACAAAAACCTCTTCCAGCCGCCTCAGTCCAATTCCACCAAACTAACCCGACCCCACCCCATTTTCTTTTTCTTCTTCCTCGCGTGACCAGATGTGATAACCAGAAACGAGCCAGCAGCCCAGACCCGGTCCAGCAGTAGCAACAGCGTGCACAGCACGCGTGAACGATCATGTACGCGCCTCGTCTCCTTCACGCGAGGGCGAGTTCACGCAATCGACAGCTCCCTCAGCCTTGCTCTACAACAATCGCCCATTTTGATCTTTTCCATCCAGATTTTAGGGGATTTTGGTTGAATTTCCATACAACAACATCTTTTCCTTACCCTTGAGGGAAAAATTTGAATTGATTTGGTTGGAGAATTCCGATTTTGCCCCAAGTTCCTATCCGTTTTCTTCCCCCAAATCTGCCGTAATTTCCTGGCTATATATACTCTCTTATTATTCACTGTAAGGGGAAGAAGGGGAATTAATTGGAATTAGAGAAGAAAAAAAAATATAGTGAACTATTAATTATACATAGTCATAGACAAATATTTAGGAAATAGATTTTGAAGTGATAGAGATTGGCAATAAGATTTCTACTCTCGTTTGATTCTTTTCCATTCATCGAAGTTTCTCGGAGTCATAGTTTGGTGGTGGTGGAATCCTTCCCGAAATCTCGTTTCCAGTCGCTGCTCCAAAAAAGGTAAATGTCCTTTTAATTTTAATTTCTTGTTAGTCAATGTTGTGTTTGTTCTTGTTAGTTAATGTTATTAGTTACTGTTGTGATCATACTTGTTAGTTAATGTTATTAGTTACTAACCCTGAGGGGTAGCTCAGCTGGTAAAGGCCTGGGACAAAGTCCTTCAGGTCGCCGGTTCGAGCCCCAGCAGGGCCACTGGAGGCATTACAAACCGGCCGCGTCTCCAGGGCCCCGTGGAACTAACCGTGGTGGACCCGCCTTGAAACAGCGGGACCCGGTGGGTACAGCTAGTCGGGTTCGCAAAGCGACGCCCGAAAACCACGGTAAAAAAAAAAAAAAAAAAATATGTTATTAGTTACTGTTGTGATTGTGCTTGTTAGTTAATGTTATTAGTTACTGTTGTGATTATACTTGTTAGTTAATGTTGTTAGTTATTGTTGTGTTTATACTTGTTAGTTAATATTGTTAGTTAATGTTGTGTTTGTGAATAGAATGGAATTTTTGACCTGTTATGAGTTTTCTATCGATTTTATCCCTTCCAAATGCCCCCCTTTGTTTGTCTCACCTGTCGTTCTTCTTGTTGATTTTGGAGAATAGGAGTTCTTGGTCCTAGCTTGCTCATGTTCAATATGAATCTGTGTTGTTGCTTAATATTTGACGTCTTATCCTTTATTCTTTCACCTCGAGTTGAATGAATGAATTAACATATAAACATTTCGAGTTCATGTGCCGCATTTACTACTCCTTTTTTTGGGGTTCTTGTATTATGTTTGTCACTAGTCGTTTTGATTCCTTTTATTTGGTTGCTCTGTTGAGTCTAATTCGGAGTGTAGGCTTTGTTTCCGTTTTCTCAGATGGCATTTGCTCCATTTTTGTTTTCCTTTTCCCCATTCAAGTTTGCCGCATCTGTTTGCGTTCACTATTTTCCAATATTCAACTTAGTCACTAGTGCCTTAATCCTTTAGATCTGTTTTTTATCTCAATTAGTGCTAGTAAATATTTTGCTTTGAATATTAAGTCCTTCAACATTTGTTCTTACTTGTGCTTCTTATGAGTTTTTTTTTTAAAATCAGGAAATATAGAATTTGTCATGTTATTTAAAAGATGTTTTATTTAATTGCGTGAATAATTCCCTTCCGTTTCAATTCTCTATTTGATTAAGTATGAGATGTGCATTAATTTGTCAAGATGGAATTATTGGAAGGAGTATACGTATCACCTGGTGAGCATTGATGATGCTTCTGGTGCCTATATGTTCTCTGTCTATACTTGTAGTAATTTTTAAATGTTTTGGATGAGTTATATCATAATTATCTCTAGTTGAATGCATAATTATATATATATGAATTGTTCAAAATCCCTCACTAATTCCTTTTCCCTTTACTTTTAATACATGTGACACCAACTCGAGTCCCTCCTGGGCTTCATCTTTCTTCCCTTCGCATTTCGAGAGGGCCATAAAGGCCCAAGATTCTTTTATCGAGTCGGTCACATCTTGTTCGTTGCTGGAAAGTCAAAATTACAGGTCCCGAAAAGTCGAAAATGGGTTGTATACATGTTGTATACAGCGGTATACGCTGATATGCAGGCCCAAAACACAAAAACAGAGGGTGGAGGCAAAACACATGTGTCCGGAAGCAAGATATACATGAAAAGAGCTGATTTATATGCTCATATACACTGATATACGCCCAGTGTATACACAAAAACGGGAATTGGATTAGCCCCAAAAAATCCAGCGAAATTGGCCCAAAAAGGGGCCCAAATTCATTTCTCCTTTACCTCTAAATTATTTAATTGCCTTTATTTATTGTTTGTTTTTTATCATTAATTCTAATTTAGAATTGTTAATTAATTTAATCGAATTCCCCAAAAGACAAACTATTTCTCTGTGTTGTTTTATTTCTAACAAATCTCATTTTATCAACTCTTGCATTATCATTTATAATCTTTAGTCAACACTTTTTTTTTTTTTTAGTTTAAAATAGTTTTTTTCATAAACCAAAAAAATGACTCAAATAGAAACCAATTAATTTAGTTTCGTTAAAATTCTAATTACTTGTCTCTAATTCAAATGTTTCAATTAAGGTCCCATTTTCTTAAAAAATAAAAATTGCTATTTGTTTAACTATATTCTCAAAGTTAATCTAATAATGTTAATTATTATTATAAAATACTTACTTAGTCATTTTTTTAAGAAGGTTAGCCAAAACTTTTATTCTTCAATTAATTTAAAATGATTTTCATGCTTTAATTTATTAAATTGGTTTAAATTATTATTTCAAAATGAATTAAATAAATTCTAATTAATCTAGTTTTATTAATATTTCAATCACTTTCATTTCGAGTCAAATGTATCATTTTGGATCCCTTCCTCTAAAAAATAAAATGAAATAAAATGCGTCATTTATTTAATTATTTTCTTAATCAAATATATTATAAGTTATTATTCTTTATGTTAATTATTTTTTTTTCTAAAAATAGTCAAATATATTTTAGTCAAATCACAGGTCAATCGCATGTTAGCGGGCACTTCGAATGCTTAAACCCTTCTCGAAGTGTAAATTGAACCCCGAACCTTCTTTGGTATTTTCAAATGATTTTTTCTGTTTAAATCTTTGAAAATTATAAGTTTTTCTTAATTTCTTTAAAAAATTAAGTGGCGACTCTTTTCTAAGTATTGTTCTCAAATTGTTTTATACTTGGAACATTTCAAAAGTGATTTTTCTAGAAATAGTTAAATTACGGCACAATAGTTGGTATTTTTTAGTTAAAACCAAACCAACCCAAATATAGTCGATTTTTTTTTTCAAAACCAAACCAAGTCAAACCAAACCACTAGTCGGGTTTTTTTTTCCGATTTGACTCGGTTTGCGATTTGATTCGGTTTTCGGTTCAGTTTTGTATACCCTAGTTTGGGGAATTTTACTTGTTAATAAGTGGGGGGTGGGGGTGGGGGGAGAGATTGGGTTTGAGATTGGGGAGATGATGAGAGAGAAATATTTGATTGTTATTAAAATATTAATTGTGGAGTTTAAATGTAAGATAATTAATTAATTTTAATTTTAAGGATTGTGGGTATCATCTTCAATAATATATGGTATAAAATTTTTAAAATGATATATGTAATTATTTGAAAATAGAGGTTATAATATTAATATATATGGTAGTGAGGTATAAGTAGTTTATCCAATTTTTTAATTAATGAAATGTATGTGTGTTCAACAGTTTGGAATACACCAGCAAAAGATATTCTAGGTGATATTGGAATAATATCTATTTCGAAAGTGAGAGTCTAATTAATTATGATTATTGAGTACTAGCACCGTCCACTTTTAATTGTTAGTATAATTTTTTTTTTTAGAGTTAAACTATAAAAACTTTGACTAACATTTTATGATTGTATTTTTTTATCATATTGATATGCAAAAAATTGCAATTTATATTACCTTTTATATAGTTTTTGGATATCTAATTTTTTTTTTTTAAAATATCAAATTAATGTAATCTAATTTAACTTTGAAAATTAGTCAAATTGACTTTCAAAAAGCGCAACATGACAAATAAAAAGAAAGTAATCATTAGTCAAATATACAATTTAATATAAAGTTGAGGGCCGTTAAAAAGATTTATGCAATATTGTAATTTCTAATTTCTAGCCATTTTATTAAATTCTCATGAACAAGAGTGAAGAGAATGTGCTGTCCTTATCCTAATTAAGATATTTTTTGAGCTGATATAATATATATAAGTGCTCTCCCAAAAGTTTGGAACTTATCCTTTGTGTTTTTGAACCATGGAAGCTCCATCAGAGGCACAATTACCAAGAAAAACCGGAGGCTGGATCACCTTCCCCTTCATCACAGGTCTCTCCTCTCCTCTCTCTCTTCCGGTAGACCTGAACCTTGTTCCTATATGATTTGATCAGGCATTTCAAATTTTTAATAACGTGAAAAAATCAAATGCTATGTGCTATTCATGTTACCTTGTTTGTTGCAAATAGCCTAAATATTTGTTACAGTAATTTAACTTGCGTATATATATTGACGCTAAATCCGTAACTCAATTTTGAAAAAAACAGCGAGCTCAGTAGGGTTGACCCTAGCATTTGTGGGTTGGACAAGCAATCTTATTGTTTATCTGATTAAGGAATTTGATGTGGAGAGTATTGATGCTGTTCAAATAGCAAATTTGGTTAATGGTGCTGGAAGCTTAACTCCTGTCCTTGCTGCAATTATTGCTGACTCTTTTCTTGGTTGCTTCTCTACCATTTGGATTTCATCCATCATCTCATTATTGGTAACTACCACTGTTTTTTGTTATTACTCCGATCCTCATATTCAACACTTCTCTTCAATCATTGTATGACATAATTATATATTTATAGAACCATTTTTTTTTTGCAATATACTCGTAGGGCACACTACTTTTAGCTCTAACAGCTACAGTTGATTCTTTAAGGCCTAAACCTTGTGAAGTTGGTTCAACCTCATGTACCCCTAAACCAAAAGTTCAATATGTAGTACTCTATGCAGCCATTGTTCTAGCAACATTGGGTAGTGGTGGTACCCGATCAACCCTTTCGACGATTGGAGCGGATCAACTAGCTGATAAACCAAAAGATCAAGGGATTTTCTTCAATTGGTTCTTCTTCTTTTGGTATTCTGCTTCTGCTATAGCATCAACAGCTATTGTGTATGTTGAAGATAACGTAAGCTGGAAAGCTGGATTTTTCATTTGTGTAGCAGCTAATGTACTTGGTTCAGCCATTTTCCTAATGGGAAGCAGATTTTACGCTAAGTTTAAGCCAAAAGGGAGTCCATTTACCAGTTTGGCTCGTGTTATTGTTGCTAGTATTACAAAAAGACAAGTTGCACTTCCATCGACTGCTGAGGATTTCTTCCAGGGATGTAATGTAGTACCTAAAGAAGCATTAGCTGTTGTACCTTCCAAGACCTTCAAGTAACACATGCTCCTTCCGTTTCAATTTGTTTGTATTATGTACTGTTATTCTAAGTTTGTTTCAATAAAACCTCTATATTTTGTTGTTGATAATACTCACATGATACAAAAATTTGGAACTTTGCTTACTTTGATAACATATTGATTTGTATGCTTGGCTTTCTATTATAAATTTAAGCTATTGACTTTTGGAGTATGTCTTTTTTTAAATAAGCTTAAATTATCAGGGAACGTAACGGACATTTTTGTGTATTAAGATTTACAAATAAATAGCAAGTAAGTTCCATATTTAGTGATAAGTTGGGCACACGTGCACTTGCTTTACATAGAGTATCTTTTACATGATAACAATGTTATATATGGGATCTGCTTGCGTGTATCATTAACTTTCGAAGTTGCTTATATATGATGCAGGTGTTTGAACCATGCCGCTATTATAAGTGAAGGTGACGTAAAATCAGATGGTTCAACAACTAATCGATGGAGACTTTGTTCAGTACAACAAGTAGAAGATTTCAAAGCCTTAATTAAAATCTTACCACTTTGGTCAACTAGTTTTTTTCTTGGCACAACAGTTGGCGTGCTATTTAGTTTGTCAATCCTGCAAGCCTTAGCAATGGACCGCCACATAGGACCCAATTTCCAAATCCCAGCTGGATCCGTATTCGTTTTTGTCCTCATATCTACTGCTCTATTCCTCGCCCTGTTCGATAAATTTGTTTTACCTACGTGGAAGAATTTGACAGGCAAATCACTTACGCCTCTCCAGAGAATTGGAATTGGACACGTGCTCAATTTTGTGAGCATGGGTGTATCAGCCTTAGTCGAGTCAAAGAGACTAAATGTAGCAAAATCAAATAAAGGTTCCAATATTGTGGCAATGTCAGTTTTATGGCTTGTGCCACAATTAGCACTTAATGGTATCGCGGAGGCATTTCATTATCCTGGACAAGTATCATTGTACTACCAAGAGTTCCCAATAACCTTAAAGAACATGGCGACTGCGATGATTTCCGTGATTCTTGCTATATCATTTTACTTGGCTACTGCTCTAATTGATGTTGTTAGAAAGACAAGTACATGGTTACCAGGTAACATAATTAATGGAAGGCTGGATAATGTGTACTGGATATTAGTTATAGGGGGAGTAGTGAACTTTGGTTACTATGTAACATGTGCTTGGTATTACAAGTATCAAAACCTCAAGGAAGTGGATCATATTGATTCTCCTTCTGATGAGTGAAATCAATTCTAGTATCCTCAGACTTGTGGGTATTTAGAGAGAGCAATAACTATCATCAATCTTGCAATTAGTAGAAAAACATTTTCAAATTACATCATATTGTCCTACTTAATTTCTTTTTAACCGATTTTCATATTTCAACTTCAGACAAAAATATATGAAGTTTTGAAACTTTTAGGCCGAATTTCAAACAAAAACATCTCAAGTTTTTTGGATTTCTAGGCTTGCTTGGTTCTCAAATTCACACTTCAATACGAATATTTGAACTTCAGAAAATATTCAAGTGTCTTACGTTTTCATAAGGATTTTTTCCTTTACACATTGTCTATGATTAATTTTATGACCGCTAAGTGCGGACAAATTTTCCTGAATAACATTTAAACAAGAGACAAGGTGTGAGGACTTGCGTTACATATTTTAATCATACTATGGAGTGTAATAAAACTAGAATTATATCTTGGAATAATTTTTAAATCTTATTTTCGTATATAAATAAATATTTTCCTTGCATTTGCTTACATAACTTTTACGTGTATGCCTTATGAAAGTTATGATTATAATCTCGATTATTTTTTTAAAAAAATGTTTACAAATACACTAATTTCACACCCCCACGATGCGCCGACAATTTAATTAGTTTAATATAAATGGAAGCATTTTTGTTGATCATGCACTGATTCTCCTTGACCCGGCAAAGTTTTTTTTTTTTTTTTCCTAATGTATTGCACTACAAAAGAACAAAAAAGTATTTTGGTTTGTGTGGCTTCCATTTTCCACTAAAAATCATGTTCCCAAAGTAGATCTTAAATTCTCATTATCTTTATATAATGTATTTTTTTTTGGTTTATTATTTTAAAAATACATATTTATTTTATTCAGATAATTTAAAAATCAAGAGATGATTTATTATTTTATATTTATTTAATTTTTCTAATTAAATTCTATTTATTTTCTAATATTTAATTTTTTTATTATAATTAGACATGATATAATAAATATATCATTTTATTTATTTTTTAAGAGGCGTGTCAAGTCAACCATAGATAAGTAAATATGAGTGGAGAAGTAATAGTTTAATTAATTAAATGAATGTTGATACACGCATCATTAATACTCCCTCCGTCCCTTTTTAGTTGTCCACTTTAGAAATGACACACAGATTAAGGCAACAATGATTAGCACAGTGAAGTTACAATTTTACCCTTATGACAACTTTTCACTTCAAAATTACAACCACTTCTTTGAATTCAAGTGAAATAAATTGGAGGGAAACAACATACACTTTTACAATTTTCAAGAAGTGTAAATAAGGGTATAATAGGAAAAAATTTGTTGTCCTTTCTTGATTTGTCAAAATGGACAACTAAATAGGGACAACTAAAAAAGGAAATATGGACAACTAAATAGGGACGGAGGGAGTATTAAATAGCATTTGGCCACAATTCCCAAATATTTTTGACAAGTTATATTTATGTAAAATTTCAACTTTGCGTAGATATTTGAAAAAAAATATTAGGCTTTTTAATGGAGCGGTAAGAAATTATCCAACAGTGTAATGAACCAACAAGTCATGTCATTCGATATATCTCTGCTTTAGCACTCCTTCCTGCTGCCTATTCGGGACCCTCCCTGGCATTTCCTGTGACCAACACATTACATACCTACAAATGCCCTACCAAGTTAGGAATTGATTAGACCATGCATATTCTGGCAGAGCATACACTTTTTAAGAAAAAAAAAAAAAAAAACAAGTGATCAATATGTGACCATAAAAAGATTCTATATTGAAATAAAAATCATAAGATGTGATTGATCATTGAACAGTCTTCATTTGCATATATAGTCCATCGTCCTTGGTGTAAATTGGACCATGGGCTACCAATGTTAAGGTGAAAGTCAATTTTGAGTATGTACCTTCTATTGACTACTGTTACATATCAATCTTCTCCACTCTACCTTATGAATATATATATATATATCTCCTATATACAACATTTCAATGGAGCAATTATTGAGAATGACAAGTGTATTATAGCTGTATCCATTCTTCTCAAGGTGAGATTTACCCTTGAATTATATATTCCTTACTACCTCCGTCTTATATTATGTGACACCATTTGAACTGATAAAAAGTTTGAGAAAAAAGAAAGATTTTAATAAAATTGTGATTGAAAACACTCCTTAACTATTTATGTGGTTATAAATGATTTCATTAAGAGTAATGAGAATTTTGAAGTTAAAACTCTATTATTTTCAATAACGGAAAAGTGACATTCTTATAATTGGGACGGAATAAAAAAATATGCCACATAAATTAGAGCATAGGAAAGTATTATTTACGATTCCTGCTTTGGTGACAGTACTGTGCAACAGTATATCCACCTTATACATAAGTCATATTCACGACTTAGATAAACAGACTTTATACCAGTCCAGTAGTGCTTTCTTGATGATAATGTTGCCATCATTATTCATTCCACAAGAAATTCATGCAAATTAAAAGGACTCAAATTGTTCTTATCTTATGCTGGAATGTTATATATATATATATATAACAAGAATTATTAGATTTTCAAATGCCAAATTAGCTACTGTACTATATATCCAGCAACAATGGTAAGCCTCTTTATTTCGAAAAAATATGCATCTTCAGATGCACTTTATTATATCGAGAAAGTTCAAGACAAAATTATTTATTCTTTTTATATACTCTTTAGTAGTAATTATTCCTTAATATTAGTATAAACACATCAATTATGACACATAAATAGAATGAATATTTAGTGAAAGGAAATTATATTTTAGTAAGATATAAAAAAGGGTAAAATAATCAAGGAAAAACTACCTAACTACACAAATATTCCTATCATATTACTAATTCTCTTCATAGTTTAAAATAATTATATATAGTCTAACTAATTAATAATTGCATATCAGATTTCAAGTCAACTACACTTAATTACATGTATTTTTGCTACCAAATACTCTCTACATAGGGAGAAATGCGAGTGAGATAGGAGAGAGACGAGTGAAAGAGATTCAGTGTATCCCAAGTACATGCAAATCGCATAGATACATGTATTTGATACCATATACATTCAAGATACATTCTGAAAATTAGATACATGTACCTAGCTAGACGCACCAAGTGCGTATATAAATAATACTCTTTCCGTTCACTTTTACTTATCACTTATTTCTAAAATAGATTTTCATTTTTACTGGTCACTTTTGACATATCAAGACAATTATCAAATTGACTCTCATTCTTCTTGTTGCTACTGCTTCTGTGGAACGAGCTTTCTCATCCATGAAGTACATTAAAAATGAACTTCGTAATAGTATT